TCTGCACAAATATAGATTGATGTGCTCTCTTGGCGCTTGCTCATTGCAAAAATCTACATCTTAATAAGCAATTTTCTCTATCACTGAGTTCTGAAAATCAAATTTTCTTCACCGGATCAAAACAGTTTTTTAAATAGTTAAAAAAAAGCACACACAAATGAGTCTGAAATATTTTTATAGTCGAGTCTCTTTATTTTATTCAGTCCCATTTTTGCAGCAGTTCTTACCACTCACGAACACAAAGCTTCTCCTGAAAACAACCACCTTCCAGGACGCTGAGGTCATGATCTGGAAGGCCCTCTTAAAAGACCTGACTGTACCGAAAGCCCGTAGTGAAGGCTGTGCGGTAAAATACAGGTGGCACACATCTAAGAAAACAGGCATTTACAGGCTTTAAACATGATGGAGCAGCACTCGGAGTAGCTCGAATATTATTTGAAGGATTGAGAAAGAAATGGTGATTATGCAGGAGCCTGCATTAACTTTAATGACATTCTGGTCTGGTCTCTTTCCTTTCCAGGGCCATGTTGTTCTCGGCTTCCTCCGGACCTGCTCAACTGTCTACTGCAATGTCCAGAGAGAGTTTGTGTATAAGCAGAACCTTCTCCTTGAGTTTTAAAGCATGTACTGTTTTCTTTGTCTCAATGCCATCTTTACATTATGACTCATTTCTATGCTGGTGCCCTCTGACAATAGCCCCTGCAGCTCATCTGTACAATAATAAGTTGGCCCTACTCTGTTTATTGCCACGAAAAGTGAATATATTTATTTTTTCAATACGAGAGCAAGCAAAATGGTTATATAAGAAAATAGACGATCATTTACGTCAGTCTGGAGATCTTTAAACAGTAGCTGTTTTTAATTAAAAAACAGTATTGTCACAGTTTCACTAATTTTACAAGCAAAACTTCAGACATTTGCTCTTGTAGAAATGGTAAATATGATTGTTTGATGTGTAAAACATCAGAATCTGAATACTTCATCTCTCGCCCTGGGCTCTGGGGAATATTATGAACTGTTTGTTTTAAAATGTGGCGCTTTATGAGTGAGTTGCCTCTGCTTAAATATAACCGAATTAAATCTATCACTAAGTCCTGACAGTTTAAAGATAACACTGTTAACTGTCTACTTGAGGATACAATGTTCACAGTGTTATAATAATAATAATAAAATAACCATGATAACAAAATGAACATACAGGAAACTCCTATCACATCATATCCTGTCATTATGTAGCCACAGGCTGCCATGGTGATTGTATAAATATGATAGACATAGACTGAATGTGCAGCACCTTTAATCTGCAGTCTTCTTAAAGGCCAGCAGGGGGCGACTCTTCTGGTGTTTTTTTTAAAAAAAAAGGTCAGATATATTGAAGTCTATAGGAAAACAGTACCTGGGTATCTTCACATATAACTTCATTAAAACACTTTCCTGATGATATTATAGCCTCAGCTGCAAGTTTCAAGTTCTATTGACTACAACATATCTGTCATTGTTTTAAATGTAATTCATAAATATAGAGAAAGGAGTTCTCTAAGGCCGAGTGACCTGTGATGCAGCCAAAATGCTCAAGACAAAGCTCTGAAACAGGACTCAGTTTTGATCATATTCATTATTATCATCATTTCCAATGCTTAACTAATGTGGTAGACCACCACCTAATCTAAGATTTATACCCTAAATTAACAGTATTGGAAACGACCAAAATCATTTTTTACGTCCTTGTATTGGTTAATCCACCAGCAGGTGCAAGCTCTTTAATTAAAATGATATTTTTAAATGGTAAATAATCATATAAAAATATGATTATTGTTGCTATCCAGAAATTTTTTAATGTAATCTTTTATACTCAAATTTGGGTATAAAAATGTGAATTTTTGAATTTTTCTAAAATGTGTTTTTTGGTTTTGTTTTTATGTGAGGTGACAAGTTGTTAGGTGAGCATTCTAGCAGAACTAGGCTCTTCTGGGAGTTCTTCCTGTGAAAATTGAGCTTTTCTTTCCCACTATTCCCAAGTCATGTGATTGTGGGATTTCTTTCGTTACCTTACTATGTAAAGTGTTTTGAGGTGATGTTTGTTGTGATTTGGTGCTGTATAAATAAAACAGAATTGAATTAAATTGCCATCATTTACAAAAGCAATAAGAGCAGACATATTCCACTAAACAAGCTTGTAAAGGAATCGCAGGCAGGTGGAGGTTGTTGTTGGCTTGTTGAGGTACAGAGAGGGGACATGATGTGGTATATTATCCATGAGACTGCTGCTCAAACTGCAAAGACAGGCTTTCCTACATTGGTTCTGGTTCAGGGCTCCTGATACATTAAACCAGTCAGTGAAACGGTTTAAATATGTGTCGCAGTCCCAGCAGTAGCAAAGATGAGATATAAGATGGCAATTTTCTATCCCATTGTATGAGTACTGGTGGTTATTAGATTTTTCAGATAGGGAAGGTCAACCAGCTTTACCGTATAGAAAGCAGTGGTAAGTGTAATTATCTCCAGTGATGAAAGCATGGTAAATTAAACCTGGCAGGCTGAAAGTGGAGGGAGCAGCTTTTTGATATTTTTACCTCTATAATCCCGAAAACAAGTGAGAAGAAGTGTCAGATCTCTCTCTCTCTCTCTGTGTCTTTTTTTTGTTTTAAATCTTACATATTTAGATGATGTGAGCAATTTGTGGTCACATGAGTAGAAAGCACCTCATCATCCACCTCTCTGGATCTGTTTAATAGCCTTGCTTTTATTTTCAGGTAACATTTTATGATTGTTGAGGGAGCTTGAATGTGCAGTTTTTCCTAATCCACTTTGAGGCAGTAGAACAAAGATTGATTTCAAAGCTTGAAGTAAACGAGGATACGTTATTATTTCTGGAAAAACGGATTAAATGTGAAAGGGTTCTGTTCCTTTATTAATCTTGGATCGACAGCAGTGACTCTACAGAATATTTTATTGTTTTACGTTCATGGCTATCAACTTCACAGTTTAATTTTACTGAGATTGTTCAACATAGTTTTCTAAAAGAAAACTATGAAAAACGGTGTTAGCAAGGTCAGCTTAAACTTCCTGACTTGGCACTAATGAACCCTTAAAAGCTAAGCTCAGTTTATCAAAATACATTTATAGAACTATTTTTGACTATGACTATAATCCATTAATGTCTTAAATGGCCTTGATGTAAGGCCTTGCACGCTGCTAGCTTCTTTCCATGCGTGGATCTCTAGGTATGCAAATTAATTCCTGCCTCTTTGCTGGAGCTCGTAAAACTACTCTAATGCCATTTTCACACATGACCTCTAGATAATGTTGGGAGAATCAGACTGACATTTTTTGAAGTCGCTTCAAATGCATCCTCATTGGAAAGACATCACTTGGTTTAGGTCAGGCTTTCTGCATAGAGTGGGCAGGAAAAAGACACAGCACTGTTATTTGTCTTATTCTCACATGGGCAAAATCAAGCTTTATACAAGGAAGCTGTGCAGGATTGCACATGCTCACTGTACAACCCTGCACACTCATGGTGCTTTTTGCACAGCTCCATGTTAAAAATGTAAAAGATAAATGTCAGATCTGGCAAGTTAACCCCACCCTGCATGCTGACAGACTGGTTATTTAGGTGTGATGTATATGAACGCCAGGCTGTCTGGGTTTTTAAGACTGTTATTAATTAACTGGTTTCAGAATGGAAATGTCTTTTGCTCATATTTTTTCTACCAGCTCCAGGTTAAAAAGGCCCCAAGTGGATGAATTACCAGGCATTAAAATGACAGAGCATCAGTGAGCAGTTTTATATACAAGCATCAGACATTTAGCAACAATTGAGAATTCCCAACATCGCTCTCTTTTTCTCTGCTTTTGATTTTTCCACCAGCTCCCAAGTGAAAAACTTGCACTGGACACTTTATTAGGTACACCTATTCAACTACTCATTGAATAGGCGTTGATTACATAAATGTGTAATCAGTCAATCATATTGCATCAACTCAATGCATTTAACCTGTAGCATTAGAATGGTGAAGAAAGGGGAGTGACTTTGAACACGATGTAGTTGGCCTAGTCTTGGTACTTCACAGATCTGCTGGGATTTTCCTGCACAACCATCTCTAGGGATTACAGAGAACTTTCAGATAAAGAAAAAATATCCAGTGAGCTGGTAAAAGCACCTTGTTGACATCAGAGGTCAGAGGAGCATGGATAGATTTGCTTTGAGCAGATCCAGAGGTAAAAGTAACTCAAATAACCACTCCTTACAATCAATTCACGAGAAAGAGCATCTCTAAAGACACAACACGTCGAATCAGGTAAGATGCAGCAGCAGAAGACAACACTAGGTGACAGTTCAGCATTATTAAAATACCACAGCCTACCTGAACATTGTTTTAAGATTCACACCATGCAGCTGATAAATCTATGACGCTATCACGTGAACATGGACCAAAAATGTCTGAGGAATGCTTCCAGCACTTTGATGAATGAAGCAGCTTCAGCCATGAAGCAGTGGCTCTGAAGGCAAAAGGGGTCCACCCCAGTACTAGCAAGTTGTATCTAATAAAGGGGCTTTTCTGTTTGTTGCTGAGGAGATTGTGTTCATTCATTAGCACCGTTTATTCTCTAAAAGACAGCACTGTGCAAAGAGTGACAAAAGAATAAAGTTGTTGGCTTTAAATCATTGAGAGATGCTGAGACACTGGGATCCTGTTAGTCCCACACAGACTCATGCAGAGCAAAGGTTTCTCTGCTGCGCTAACGTTGCACTGCTGCCTCTAATAATCACATATTTACATGTTTTGATGGCACGTAGAAGAAAATATACCATGTAGACAGAAATGAGTCCTCACTCTTTGCATGTGTCCACATATGCACTAAGATATGTGCTCCTCTCTCTCTCGCCTCCTCTTTCATCCCCCTCCTTTCTCCTGGTCTCTCCACCCCTCTGTTTCTTTCTCCTGTCGTCTCCCCACCCTGCTCTCATTCCATCAGGTCCTCACAACACAGCCTCAGCACGCCTCATCTCCTCCACCCAGAGCGAGTGGATCAGAGAGAAGCAAAGGAGAAGTGACGGGAAAACAACATCAGCATCACCGACAAGCATCTCCCTCACCGGGAGAGGGAGAGAGAGGGAGGGAAAAGGGGGAAGGAGGAGGAGGGGAGAGAGAGCAGAACAGTGTGAGAAAGAAGTTTTTAGTTAGAGGGAGTACAAGCGAGTGAGAGTTTGGAGTGAGAGAGCTCGGTGGGTGGCAGTGGAGCTTCATTTTCCCTTTCCTTTTCTTGGCTCTGAGTGCCGTCTGCCTCCTCTCTCCTCCCGCTCTCCTCCTCTTCTTCTCTACTTCTCTTCTCATCCCGTCTCTCCTCCAAGCTCCCGCCGTGGGGTCTCAGCTCTCCGTCTCCCTCCCCCCCTCCCTCGCTCCCTACCTCCCCCGGGCGCTGCTGGGAGCCTCCGGGCTGCTGCGCCGCAGGAGGATGTCGCGCCGGGAGTCTCCGCCGCCACCCTCGCCACCTCCGCAGCTGCTGGGAGTGCAGAGAGGAGAGGTGGAGTGCGAGGACCGTCCGGAGCGCGCGGAGCCGCTGTCCGACACCGAGAGGGAGATCGTCCAGGACACGTGGGGGCACGTCTACAAGAACTGTGAGGATGTGGGGGTGTCTGTTCTCATAAGGTGGGTTTTCCGTCAGCGCGAGTGAACTTAGAAAGTCTCCACGCTTAAAGATCCCAAGGTTGATTCGTGTCTTTTGATGTAACACTGCTCAGTGTTCCTGCTGCTTGAGCTCGAACATGCAAACCTTCCTGCTCCCCTGAGCAACATCCCGCTGACCACTGATAGAAAACATTTTTGCTGCACCGAATTGAAGCCATGAAATACCCTAACACGAACTTGAATCAGTTAAAGGAAAGACCAAGACAGGTAAACACTAAGAAATAACAGAAAGCAACAACAAAATCAAATATCACGAATACACAATGCAAAACTACAGTGCAAAAATAATGAAAACTGGAAAAACCCTAATCATCCCTGGAACTCATAACAACACCAGCCTGACAAACGAAAAATGTTTTCCTGTATATTTTTTTATGCACGATATTATTTCAATTAAAAAAAACCAAAAAAAAAAACCAAGCTTATGTATGTTTCAGTTAAAACAATTTCCCACACTGAGTTATAGTTTAGTTTTAGCTAACTAACTGTGATTATGGTTTATCAGATGTATTAAATATTTTGATTTCACTCTCACAGCCCTGAAAGAGGCTTTCCTTTCTCAGTTCTCCCACACCACATATCCTCAGCTCCTGTCCTCCCCTTTCTTAGCCCCTCCCACCAGACATGTCAGGAGGAATTGAGGTGACCAGGAGGTGAGGGAGGGACACGAGGAGAGAGGAGTCGAGACAACAGACGTTTAACCAAATGAGACACCCTCGCCTCGGAGCCTCATTTTAAAGTGATGAGAAATTAAATATGACATTTCACAAAATAGCATCATAAATTGTTTTGTTATAGCCCAACTGCTGCTGTATTTGATGATCTGCAGTTTAACAGTGATCAGGACGTTTTTTTTACCTTTAATAGGAGGACTTTTAATTAAAATCACAACATGGTGCAATGTGACGAGACATTAGACCTTAATTTAATCACACATGCAGGCAGCAGTGAAAGGCAGAAAGTTGGATCATCTTAAATAACCAAAACCACAAGTACAAATGACTTGCGGTTTAATGAGCCCTCCTCTCCCCGTTGTTTGTATAATCCAGCTGTTCGCCACTTCAGTCTTCTTCAACATGGCTCAGATTTACAGAGAAACGAGTAAAGCCCCGAGATGCTCTGCTCCGCTAGGTTAGCTGATCAGAGACTAAAGCGGGGTGCACAGCAGGCTAGCAAGTTTGTCTGATTGTTGTTCTTCCAATTAACTGTCAAATCATCTGAGACATGACCAAAAAAAAGAAAAGAAAAAGAAAGAACACATGGTACAATTTAGATGCTCTTGCTAAGATCTCATTTGTTTTCTGCTCTTGTCATTCTTTTATTTTGTAATCACAATGAAAAACACACAAAGTAAAGATATTTTTCAAAAGGTGGAAACATCTGGACAAATCTTTAATCGCCTTGCACCATAAAATTCACCTAAATAAGGAAATATCAAACAGAGATTTAACATCATTCATGCATATATAATGTATAAAGGTCAATAATTCTGGTCTCAGCAAACCAGAAGTTACAGTACTGGCTGTTTAGGTGGGTGCAGATTTTAAGAATTACCAACATTTTTTATCTTGAGATGCTGGAAACAATCCTAAATCATCCGATTACTGCAAGCAGCAGGATATTACATAAGCTAAAAATATTTCCACCAAAAAGCTTTCCATTAATAATGTGAAGTTTTAATCAATTTTTTCTTTGCTCTTCTCACGGGTTTGAATACTGACTGTGTATAAAGGCTGGATGTACCTTTTGGACCAGAAACATGAAGCCAACACTAACAAGCTTCTGGCCAAACTTGAGGATCACGTCTGTGCTTATCCACCAAACAGCAGTTCAGAATACCCGTGCTTGTTGCAGTCTCTGGGTGGGATCCTGGGGGGTGTCCCATCCAGAGACTGGAGAAATCTGAACAGTGTCGACTGGAAAAGAAAAGACACAAATTAATGTCACGCATTAATTTACTTGATCCAGGATAACCTTAACCGAAAGGTCACTGATCTGTGTTGTTGATGTATTTGCCAAGACACTCTTCACTCTTGAAGAGAGGAACAATTCAATTTCAATTCAATTCAATTTCTTTATTGTCCCACAAGGGGAAATTAGTTTAGCAGCAGGAGGATAAAAATAAACAGAACAATACTATAAAATAATAATAACAATAATAATGATAGAAAGTTCAAGGACAATTATTTGCCATTAAGGAGACAAGACGCAGTAGGGATAACAGAGCTGTCAGCTGATCAACACCTAATGGTCAGCTGGAATAGATAACTATTAAAGGGCCGTTGGGTACCAAAAAAAGGTCAGAAGGGCTGTCGCGTCTGCTGTGGCAGAACCAAAATCTCAAGCTTGGGAAGAGTTCAGTGAGAAGGACTTTCAGATGGCTCCTAGCAAACTGTCTGGTGAATCAGGAGCAGGAAATAAGAAAAGCAGACTTGGCTCAGCCTCAGGCCAGCTTTTGGTCAGAGACGAGAACTGCTGAGCCTTACTGGAATATTGTGGAAAGAGCTCTTTGAGGTGCTCCTGAACCGGATGAGCACGTCCTCAGTCTCGAAGGCAGTTTGAAGATATAGGGGTGGCCTCACCTCATCTCCTGACAGACGTTGCTGAGGTACACAAAAAGCTCTGCAGTGAAAAAGGACGGGTAGGGATGAGATTCACTCTGTTTTGGCTCCATTGGCGTCCCTGGAATGTAACCCTCAGTGTTAGGTGGCTAACACTCAAGTACAATGGTGCACTGCTCTTTGTGGGTTAGCGTGAAGCAAGGGTGATCGAGTATTTTGAGAGCCTGTTGATGGGACCAGTGAACTAGTGCGGGCATTTTTTCCAAACTTTGTACTGAAGAGAGCTGAGCTGGAAAGCAAACCCTTCGAATTACCATCACTGTAGGTTCCCTCCCTCATGGCATGTCTGGGAAGCCGAAACAATAAGGTTGCAGATGAATGTGGCTGAAAACCTTTTCCTCAACAGGTTCAGACTCAGAAATAGATATTCTATTCTGAGATGTTCTACATTTCAAGGAGTATTCATTCACCGATCCAAATCATTGAATTAAGATGTATCAATCACTCCCATGGCCACAGGTATATAAGATCAAGCAACTAAGCATGCAGACTGCTTCTACAAACATTTTTGAAGGAATGGGTCACTCTCAGGAGCTCAGTGAACTCCAGTGTGGGCTTGTGATAGGATGCCACCTGTGCATCAAGTCCAGTCGGAATATCTCCTTGGTACTAAAGATTCCATAGTCAACTGTTAGTGCCATTATAACCAAGTGGAAATGATTGGGAATGACGGCAACTCATCCATGAAGTGGTAGGCCACGTAAAAATCACAGAGTGAGGTCAGTCATGATGCCTTCAGAATAGCTTAAGAAAAGTGTGTAGAGAACTTCATAGTTTCCATGTCCGAGCAGCTGCATCCCAGCCTTACATCACGAAGTGAGGTGCAAAGCGTCGGATACATCAGTGTAAAGCACATCACCACTACACTCTCAGGAGTGATGAATAACACTTTTCCATCTGCCAATCCAATGGACAAATCTGGGTTAGCACAACTCTGAAATGAAGTAGACCGTGAGCCAGACCTTCTTGTTGTTGTGATGTTCTCCAACATCACTGTCTGACCTCACAAATGAGCCAAATTCCCATAAACGCACTCCTAAACCTTGTAGAAAACCTTCCCAGAACAGGTGAAGCTGTTATAGCTGCCAAAGATGGGTTAAAATCGTATTAAACCCTACGTATTAAGAATGGGATTACACTCAAGTTCATATAAGTGCAAAGACAGTGTATCCAGAGCTGCTGCTTCATTCTCAGACTTGTATGACTCCTGGATAAATCCTTCTGGAATTTTTCCAGGCACAACAAACTTGGAAGCAGACCAGAAGGGGTAAACCTTGCCATCACTGTGTTGGCCTGCCATCACAACGGACTAAATAGGCTCGCGTCTGTATGGTACCAGATACGGATGTCATCATTTCGATGATCGGCAGCAGCCTGTTGTAGCATCTCTTCAATATTTAGCTTGAAGCATTGTTCAGCCTGCAATGCACGTGGTGACGCACCAGGCATCGCACCAGACATCGCACCACGTATCGCTCTGATATGCAGTTTTTTTCAGGTCTCTTTGATATGATGCACAAAAACTTCTGTTTAATCCCTATTGTGTCTCAGTTAACACAAAGTACTGAATTAATACTTTGTGTTAATGCTTTCATGTTGTTTTTTGTATTAGACAGTAACAGAAGCACACATGTATTCATCTTTCCCAGACGCTTAACTCTAACTATGAGCCTGCAGTCTGCTCTCCAGATGTAATGAGCTATGCTATAAGAACTTGGTTTTCCCCAGAAGGAAGGCAGATCCCAAAGTGACGGCACAAACAGATTTTTTTCACCACAACAGGCACACCCACACCATGTTCTGCACCAAATCCCTCAGCCTCTCAACAATAACTGAACTGTGACAAGTGCAGGAAAGGAGGGAACATCAAGTTCCTCACTCATTAAGATGCTGAGACGGCTCCATACACCACATCTTCTCACAAGTAAAGTGAAAACTGTGAAAAGGGCACCTTAAATTTGACCTGTTCTCACCTTGTTTATATTTTATTTCACATTTCTCTCTTTCACTGCTGCTGTCTTTTTAAGTCATGTGAAAATTAAACATTTTTCCAGGATCGAACAATCTTCTGTAATGCTTCACTCTACAGAGCTGCAGACCAACAGGATCTAACGGCGCTTCTCCTTTTTCCATTTAAAAAATAAATAAATAAAAAATATATATCAAAGAAGAGAGGCTTAATTTATTTAAATCCTCAGCTAAACTGTCTCAGTGTCACTGAGACCTTAAGGGCTTGTTAAAATGGACAGCGAGTCGTAGCCAAGGAGACTGATGTGACTGCGACAAACTGATTTTCGGTTGGAGGTGACGATAATCCCCCGAGGGGGAGCAGATGGGGCA